CCAGCGCTGTCCGAAGACATTTCCGCGGTCATGTGGCCGGCATGACTAAACACCAAGGAGCACGGAACGCTGTTACCTTCCCACTGAAGTGGTACCTATTTATCTACTTGCAATTTCTTGCTTTCGAACTGCTAGGTTAGCAGGAGCTGGAACTAGAGATGGGAGCTCACTCCGTCATGCGGCACCCGGGTCTTGAACTGCTGAACTACTGACCTTCCACAGCCTGCAGTTCAGCGTCTTAACCACTTGAGCCACTGCAGCTCCTAAGGCAGGGCTACAGATCCACTATCAAGCTGGTGCTCCAATCAAGGAGAGTGTTATATTTATAAATATAGTACAACAGAAACCTACAGCAGCCACTTCATTTGTGCAAGCTCTGAAGAGCCCTGGATCAACTGCTCTACCTTGCACTATGCCATTGGTGAGAAACATTCGTTTGATTTCTTACAAAAATACAGGCTCTCTCAAATCAAAGCAGCAGCCTTTTGGCAAACTCCCTCTTCCAAACATTTTGACACACTTCTTCTGCCTTGTAAACTATTTCCTATCTTTGCAATCAACCAATTTGAAGTCTACACTATTAATTAACTATTATACAGTATTAATTTCTGTTCACTATGAAATCAACTATTATTCACTATTATTTTCTACCAAATCTATCTTTTATAGGAAAACTACAGAAATGAATATGCACACCTCTTACTATGAGATAGGGTTAAATCATTAGCTGAAACAGGTCCTATTTAAAAATGAAGTGTTTGTTTCCAATGGAGTACGTGTTTCTATATAGCAAGCTCATTGTACAGACTGAATGGTTAAAGCAATTTAAAAAGGACATAATCTTTCACCCCAGGGTCTCTGGCTCAATTGCAATCACTGTTGTCTGTAACTGGAAGCCGATAAGTATCTGGCAGGAGCTTTCTGTGAAATGATCTACTGGTCTCTGTCCAGTTCCCAGTGGAAAACTATCTACCCTGTAAAAAAAAATCACCATCAGATTTGGCAATCTTACTTAGCGAAAAGGTCATGAGTACACATGAACCTTGGAGTATGACATTCCCTAGGGCTCAAAGTTTGATTTTCCAGATGTCCAGGCTATATGGGAATCTTACAATGCTCTAATATATTATCTGTATTTTTACTGTAGGCTAAAAGAAAGTTCTCAGTCACAAGAACTGTTATACTGGTACCTTTTCTCAATACTAATTTGGTCAGAAAGAGAAAGGGAAAGAGAGAGAAAATGAATAGGCAAATGAATGAAAATCAAATAGGTGAGATCTGCGTAGCTTTGTGGTTTCTGAGTCATGACAGGTATTCAGCTAGTGAAAGCACAAAGTCTGATCTTGAATGGGAGCACTCTGCAGGACTGTGCCTTCTGAACAGCATTGTCCATTGGGCTTGTTCAGTAAATCTGCTTAAAAGGAGCCGGAGCACAGACAGGTGCCATTAATTCTCTAGCAAATACTAAAGGTTCTGCCCATGCAGCCAGGAAAAGCAAACCAGACAATGTTGTCATTTGTTTTATTGGTTGCTTTGGATCGCGCTCTTTTATAAGTGAACTTGGGCAAAACTTCAATACTACAGGGATTCTGCTTCTAGCTGGCATGTACAGCCATTTACAAAGAATGCAATTATCATAAGTTTTACTGCTTATCCCAGTGAAGAATAAAGGTAGAACACATTACTTTTAATGACATTGTGGCTTTCTAAATTGCACACACTGAAATGTACTGTAATTGTTTTTCACAGTAAATAGAAGAGACACGAGTAGTTATTATGATAGTAATAATAATTGACAATAGGTGCTCAAAATGGTTCACATACATTGTCTTAGGGCAGAATAAACACTGCTACTCTCTCATACTGTCAACTGATTCAGGTGCCATTGGACTCAAACTTTGCTCTGCTACTGTCCACTGAAAAGCCTTTGCGTACAGTGGTGCCCAGCAGGGAGGCAATAATGTTTACATGCTATTTATTTATTAATTTACATTTTGTTTTACCTTTTTGCAAATCAAGGCAATTAACAACATTGAGTGCTAAAAGATATACCGCAACCAAATTTTTAAAATGTAATGCATTAAAGCATTACAGAAAATAAGCAGAACAGAAACATCAACACAACAAATCAGGGCGGTCATATGCCTTCTGAAACAGGTACAGCCTCCCCTAAGGGATGAACAGCTTTGCACTTTATTGGAAAAGGGTTCCAGAGTCTCCAGGCAACTGCCCAAAGGGCAGCTGCTGTGAGTTTCATACAGGGAGGTGTGCTCTTTAATAAGCTAAGTGAGCCAGAGAGTTTAAAGGGAGGCTCCAGCACCTTGTATTCAGCTTGGAAATACACTGTTAAGCAGTGCAAATTGTTCCTTTTAGCATGTATCATCCAAGCTGCCCATAGAGTGTGCTCACTAGGGCAAGGTTATCCCTGGCAACAGCAGTATTGTCATGCATATTTTGCACATGATTAAAAATGCACACGGTAAGGAACATCCAAACATTGTCAACAACACAGGCACAGTACCGGTAAGTAATATAGTAAAATCTTTGTCATCTGGCACTTCATTATCCAGAATCAGTTATCTGGCATTGCTTAGAAGGCAAGTTCCTCCCTCTAATCCATCATACCCCTGCATCTTCAGGCCTGCATGCGCCCAACTCCTGCCTCTCCAGCCAGCCAGTTTGATACCTCTAGTCATTGCTGGACTATTGACAGCTGGCACAGTCAGCTGATGTCATCCTTGGGTGCCTCCTTCCCTCTCAGCCTGTCTCAAGCTGTTGGCAGCCAGCTCGGTTAGAGGGTTCCCAAAGCAGCTGGCCTACTTGTCTGCCTGCTGTGCGGGATGGTTATGTGGCTTGGGAGGATGGAGAAAGGTCCTACCTGGCATGAAGGTGTTTCCATTGTATTCCAATGGGTAGGGCTTGCTTGCTACAAATTTTTCTGGATTGGGGGTGGGGCAGAGCAATTGGATTCATGGTCTTCTCTCACCTGTGTACATGGTGAGACTGGGATCACCACAAGTAAAAGTGAATGCAAACATTTGTTGATAAGCAGCATACAAGGTAGGACCCACACTACTAGTAGGTGAGGTTTTCAGTCTTTTCTAGAGCAAGGTATGGCAAAGGTTTGCTCCACTGCAGTGGGAAGGCGAATCCCCCTACTCTGGAACCTGAGATCTATTTTGGTGGGCACACCAAGGAGCGCTGCTAGTTAAGCCAAACAGAGCACTTGGCAGCTACAGGAACAAGCAAAGGAAAGAACATGCAAAACGTTCAATCTACCTTGAAGTTACAGCAACTGAAATTCAAATACTGAGAAGATATTAGAAGGTAAAAGATCAAGTAGAATTACCAGACCATATCAACAGCAGAGAAAACATGGTGAAAGTCAGAGGGATTCCTGAGCACTCTTAGATTTAATATTTTATTTAGATGATCTTATAGCTGTTATTGCTGGATCTGATTCAGATAATATATTAATTTATTGTGCTTGCCATCTTAATTTTAACTTTGCAAAAAGAGAGAGAGAGAAGAGAGAGAGAGAACCTGGAAGACATACTGTAGTTGCTTTTCAGAATACCAACTCTGAAGATTAATTTATGAAGCACAAGATCAAATGGATGGAAACTGATTCATTTTCTAAATTATCTCTTTCCCATTTCACTATGGAAAAGGAGACTGTTGAAATTCCTAACAAACTAAGCAAAGAAAGCATTCAGTTTAAGTGGACTGTTCCTTTTCTGCTACATTCCTGTTTTAACCAGCAATGGATTATGATAAAAAATTCTGAAGCACTTCTGTTCTTAGAACAATTTGGCTCTTATGAAATTGAAGCTGTTACTTTAAATGATGCTACTCAAAATCAATCTGTTTCTTATCATTCTCAACAGCAGTTAGTTGGTAATGGGGGTTTAGAAGTAACTGGTGTAATTCCCAGTGTTGGAGAAATAGCACATACACTTGGGGGGAGGGAGAGACAGGGAATAAGATATCTCAAAATTTAAAAAAAGGAATTCTTCTCAGTGTGCTATAAATATAAATGTGTGAAACTTATGGAATTTGAATTCTGTATTCAATAAAAGAAAAATGGTGAATATCGTTATTAAAAAAGTAAAATAGAAATGGGAAAGTTAGATTTATTGACTTGTACCCTACAAGATCTGCAAGTGGAACTGAGCTGTTGGACTTTACCACCTTCTCCTCAAACTCACTGAGTCCTCCCATTTTTTTTCCGCACAGAGAAGGGGAAATATCCCCTCCTGATGACAGAAGTACCTTTCCATCCGTGTAAACCACAGGTAAAGAAACTGAGTTTAAATGTTAAGGGCTGTAATAGTCAAATAAAGAAGAAGAAATCTTTGCTTTCCTAGAGAGTCAGTATAAAGATCCTATGTTTATGCAGGCAACTCCTATTAAAACTGGTCACTCATTATATGACATGTTTAAGACCAGACAAAATATTCTTTTTAAAGGCCTCAGTGTGGCAGTTTGGCACCCTTGGATTGTCTGTCTATTCAGCACTAAAATGTCTAGTTTTGCCTGCCAGAAAACATGTCTTCAGTAGCCAGGGTAAAGGAGACCTTGAATTCAGGTAAATTATAACCATGGGGCCTATATGTTCTTATGTTCTACATATGGTAGGATGATCTCACTGTGCCTAGAGTTCGAGGGGAGGAGGATTACATCCAAATAGACACAGAGTATGAATGATGAGATGGAAATGTTCATCCTCTATCCTTTCTCACTTATTAGAGCAGACAAAAATCATTGTTGCGTCTAGTTGACTGTGGTAATAAAGCACCAGTGACAGAAACTTCATTCATTATACCATTCTTGGTGCAACCGTAGAAAAACAAATCCGAATATTTCAAAGAGAAGTAAAATATCAATTCTTACGGGAACAGCTGAATTACTGCCATAACTCAGGTGGAGTATTTTGCTGTTTCAAGCAACTGTGACTTCATATCAGAGTCACTTACTGAAGGCTGGTTTTTAAAACTTACTTTAGGTGTACAGCTGGTGAGTGGTGGATGAAAGTCCTCCTCTTCCACATATTTCCTTTTAAAGTATGTGATCTTGGATGTTGCTATAGGATTTGAAATTCCTCTGTGGTGTGATCCTGTGGAAAATAAATTATACATGACAAGTGATGTGTGGTATGCCTGAGGTTTCCAAAAGAAAATACTTAGCTTCCTCAGTACAACTCTGCTGCACATTTCTGTATATGTTTATGGTCTTAAGAACGTACTTTAATAATAGCTCATGTGAAAAATATTGTGGCAAATGGAGGGCTCTGCTACAAGATAACTTAGGAAGCAAGGCTGTTTATTTAAGCATACTTGTCACATTGGCTTAGGCACTCACTCTGCATACTTGGCTCACACAATGCTTTCATTCCATACATCTGACCAATTTAAAAATTCACAGTGTTCATCACTATACTCTGTGCTACCTTGAGGAGTTAGGGGTTACTAGAAGTACTAAACATAGATATGTATAGATGTAACTAGAAGTTTTACAATACAGGACTCACTGGGAGCAAGTGTATCCAAAAGTAAGTTCTATTTTATTTTAATGGGTCTTCTTCCCAGAAAAGCGTTCTTAGGAGGACTGCAGCCATTAAGCAGTAGCTGCTTAACTACGTAACCCCCAAAATGCTCAGGCTTAACATCAAATATGCTCAGTAAAACTAAGGATAACTCAAATAAATGTACTCGGCAAATGACAACTTCCTACAACTTTTTTTTTTTGCCACTACTACACATCTTTTCATAGCACATGCTGCTACTTTGCTTAGAAATATTGTAAAAATAGTAGCGACTTCCTAAGTTATTATAGAGGAAATAATAAATGCATCCGGTTCCACACACTGCTGTCTATGAAAATGCAAATGGCACGAACCAGCTTTCTAGGAAGTAAACAAATTTAGAGGCAGTTGTTTGCACCACTGAAGTGAGATGGGGGAGACTGTACTGGCCGTGCCCTAAGTGCCATGGCACTTTTTTTGTCTTTGGCAAATTTCTTCTCTCTTAATAACAATCATCTTCATACTGAAGGCACACTGCTCTTCCACCATCCATCCTATGAGAAAGAACTGGCCTGATGGGAAGACCAAATCCTATTTGTAAGTAATGTCTAAAATTTGCATAATTTGCTATTATAACCAAGTCAGTGTGATGCTCCTTTAGCTTCATAGAAAGGAAGTGATTTGGAACAGGTAGCCAAAAATGTAATTGCTTTGAGCTCTTTGGAGACCGATGGATATTATAATCTAGCGTGGGTCACAGTACACCAATCAAACCATATGCTACTACAGAGAGTGAAATTTTAATTATTGTCTAGCATTTAATATGGCCACCTGTTTGGGTCTTTATTATGTTTTTTCCCAGGTGTTAATTTAAATGATGTACAAGACAAACTGGGTGGCATAAAGCTACCTTTAAACCGGAGTTCTCCTGCTCTCAATCAGCATCAGAACCTCCCCCCCCCCAATGCTGGGGATCAGTTCTGGCGTATGCAAATACCTAAAATGTATGTGCTGCCAGCTATCCAACAATGGCCCTCCTAGCAGCTAATAGAAAAAATATTAAAACATCCAGAACAATCAACAGTATGAAAACCTCTGAATAATAGCAGACCAACAGCAAGCCAGCCTTTAATTGCTGTGGTCTGTTTTGACTTTTACTCTGCCCTTCACTAGAAGGCTCAAAGAAGGCAACAACATTTAGGAATAATAATTGCTTTCAAGCAAGCATATATAAATACACAAGCACAAATACACATACCACTAAAAGAACCCTTTGCCCATATACTACTATAAAAAAGACCTTGACTTTCTTCCAAAATTTATTCACAGACAGGCTTTGTTGGACCTTTGGAAGAATGGCATTCCAAAGCATAGAAAAGCAGAAAGTACCTCTGGGATTGTTTATTTGTTTTATTACGTATTTTAAACATTTATATTCTTCACCCCAACCAGATGGTTACAATTAACATCAAATCTGGGTCATCATACAACATCAATAAAACAAAACAATCCTTATCAACAAAAAAATTTTAAATCAGCTTTAGGAGTATATACACACAAACATATATATATACACGCAAGTAGAAATAAAATCAAAATATACAGGGCAGCTTAAAAAATATAAAATCAGTAAGTAAACTTTGCATAGATTAAATACAAAGAGTGGAGAGTGGTCAAAAATATTCACCCCAAAATTCAAAAATCTCTGTATCAGGCAAAGCGATGAACGGAGGGTATCCACATCTGGGGCACCATCACTGAGAATTGCCTGCTTCTGATGCTGATCCCTCTAACCTCAGAAAATGAGGGGAAATGGATAGAGCAGGACCTCAAAATACAGTCTTCATTGAGGGGAAGATATGCCTGGAGGTGGTCCTTCATGCATCCCAATGAAAGCTGTTTAGGGCTTCAAGGCTGTAACCAGCCCTTTGAATTGGTTCCCAATGCAGATTGGTAGAAAGTGTCATTATCTCAGTTTGGGGAAAATACGCTCCCTATAGCAGGCACCAGTTCACAATCTGGCCTCTGTGACTGGAAACTTCATATTCAGAGACAGACCCAAAAAGAATAATGTAATGACTTGGTTGTGATCAGTGCACAGATAACTATGGCCAAATCCTGCCTTTCATGGAAGGGCCATAGATGGCCTACCTGCCCAAGCTGGTAAAAAGCACTTTGTACTACATATCTGCACTTCAACCTGTAGTCATGGTTCTAGCAGTACTCCTGATCTGTAAATTTGCTCCTTCAAGAGGAAAGGAACCCAATCCAGAAAAGGGCTATGACTCAATTCCTAACTGGTCCTATTACTGACAAATAGCACCTCTGTCTGGTCTGGACTGAGCTTCAGTTTACTGGCTGTTATTCAGCCCCTTACTGCCTCAGGTGAAAGGGAGAAACAGTTGAGGGTCATCCACATATTGGCTGCACCACTACAGATTCTTTGTCGACCTCATACAGTAGATGCATGCAGATGTTGCAAAGCACGGGAAATAACATGGAATCTTGTGGAATCCCACAAGCCAAGTAGCATGGGCTCAAGCTCCAACTTACCTGTCTTTGTAACACCCCTCCCACCTTCTGAACTGGATAGAAGGACTGATGGATTTTCGTTCTTATTTATATATGACAGAGTGAGATTTGACTCATCAGAGCTTACCCCTGGAATATTGTGTTGGTCTCTAACATGCTACTGGACTCGAATTTTGTTCTGCTACTATAGACTAATATCCTGACCTGGACAGCCCAGGCTGACCCAATCTCGTTAGATCTTGGAAGCTAAGCAGCCCTGGCCAGTATCTTGATGGGAAACCTCCAAGGAATACCAGGGTCATTACGCAGAGGCAGACAATGGCAAACCACCTTTGAACACCTCTTGCCTTGAAAACCCCAGGGGGTCTCCATAGGTCAGCTGTGACTTGACAGCACTTTACCACCGCTATAGACTAACAGGCTACCCACCTGAAACCTATAGACTAACAGAAAAACTCAAGTACAGTGCCCCTGAACCCTATCTCTGCCATACAGCTTAGTAGGATACCATGGTATTGAAGGTCACTACAGGATCAACAGGGTTACAGTCTAGAAGAGTCAACAGAGATATAAATCTCCTCTCTCTCCTACAGCCATTCATCCATCAGGGTGACTAAGGCAGCTTCAGTTCCAAACCCAGGCCTGAAAACAGACTGAGATCCATTTGATCCAAAAAAGCCTGGAAGTATCTGGCCACCAACTTCTTGACCATCTTGCCCAAGAAAGGAATATTAGTAACTGGATGACAGTTATCCAGTTCCTTACAGTCTAAGAAAGGTTACTTCAGGAGTGGTTCTACAAACTGTCCCCACCGAATAATCACAATTCACACATATTTCTAATCAGGGATTCTCAATTGCCCCCTTTTCCCCATTGTAGTTTATTCACAAAGTGTGAGCAGAACCCATGAAATCTCCCAAAAAGTTTCACTTCTTCCCAAACATTCTGAGATTGGATCACAAAACCTATGTGCATGTGCACTCTCATGTCACTTACGCTATTTCCATCTGTCACCTTTATTATGTGTTGAAAAATCAATAAATTAAAAAGAGGAGTTTCGATCTTGCTAGGGTGTGGGAAATGCATGGTTTGTTCCTCTAGTCTAGCCCCTCCCATTTTGCCTCCATGCTTGACACCAAAGCTGAGCATGTCCATGTGTGCTAACAGGATCACAGTTATGTGTTCTTGCACTGCCCTCTGGGAACTGTAGTTCAATACTCTCAGTTTTGAGTGTGTTTTAGTATGATTCGTGTCACTGAATGATGAATTCCATTGTGCAGATGCAAAAGTAGCGCATATGTAAGGTAGCTGATTTTAAATGATGCCCTACATTGACCCACAGGCAAACAAAACCTAAAAGTAACTGGGAACATGCACCAACAGGGGCTACTCAGCCAGCTGCCATGCTGGATGCTGTCATTGCATTAAACTGCATGAAATGCTGCTAGTTTTGAACTGTAAGCCAGTCATTACAGTGGTCACATCAGATGCTTGCCTCAACAGCAAACGGGCATTATGAACAACGTAAATTCATTTTTAAACAGCTGTCTTAAGAACATCAAATCACCCCCTTCAGTGAATTAGGGTAAGTAAACAGCACTTCTTAGATTCCAGAATCTGAGGATCAGTTCAAACTTGCCTTGAAGTCATGCCCTTTTCCTTGGAAAACCAAGAAATTTGACCCTGAACTCAGGGTGAATTTCATCCTGTGCTAAGAGGCAGTACATAGAGAAGGTCAGGTCTCACAGCAGCAGATGAGGCAGTAAATGTGTGTCTGGACGGGATTTGTCTATTTCAGCCTATAAGCGAGAGTTCACATGCTGAAATGCTCTGGGAGGGGGGCAACATTTATTTATTTAATTCCATTTATATCCCGCCCTCCCCGCACGCAGGCTCAGGGCGGCTTACATGGCACAAGTGCAATAAAAATACATAGATTTCTATGCACAGAAGGCTAACGTATCAGGAACCTTTCTCCTTTACATCTTGTTTCTTTTGTGCAGTGCTATTGTGTGTGTGTGTGGGGGGGTCCCTGTATGCAAGAGCATTCATTAACATGAGTCCCCACCTGTAGTCTGAAGTATTACAGTACAGAAACAGGTTTACCACCTCCCATGCTGTTGGTAAGAACTAGACCTAAGAGGCACTATTATTATTATTACATCTGTTCCAGAGCTCAGCCCTACTTCTAAAAACATGAGCTAGATCTTAGCCTAGGTAAGTCTTAACCCACAAGAAACAACAAGTGCTCATGATGGTGTTTTGTTTTGTTTTAAGAAAATGGGAACTGCAAAAATATTACTTATTTTTCCTGGCAGGGCTCAGTGAAATCAAAAGAGGAAAAAAAAAAAACAGGAATCCAGTACCACCTTAGAGACTAACAAAAGTTATTCCAACCTTAGTGTTTAAGGCACCACTGGATCCCTGTTTTATTTTTCTGGTGCAGGATAGCCCCGCTGCCCATCTGGAATGAACAAAAAAAAGAATGCCTTCAAGCAGGCATTGCAAAATACCTTTTAAACGGGGGGAATTACTGGCAGTTAACAGGCCTTAGAAGGGATTCCTGCTCAGAAACAGCCTTCAGCCCTGGCATGGAAAAGCATTCGAACCCCTCTTCCAACAGCCAGTGGTCACAAGAGCAAAACAGAACCTCCATATACAGAGACAGTGTACCCCTATCAGATGCTGGAGGGAAATAACTGGAGTGGGCTGTTGCCTTAGTGCCCTGCTTGTACCCCTTTCAGAGGTTCCCAGGTAGCCAATATCGCCGCAGGTCTGGAATAGGGTTGAATCACCTTAAGACTCTTCTACTTCTTGCCAGGGTTACTTAACCGCGAGCCCCGTGTGGTTTTCAAGGGAAGAGACGGACGTTCAGAGTTGGTCTGACCATCGCTTGCCTTGCAGAGCGACCCTGGTCTCCCTTGGTGGCCTCCCATCCGAGCACCATCCAGGGCTGACCCTACTTCGCTTCCGACATCTGATGAGATCGGGCTAGGCTGGGCTACCCCGATCAGGATAGCTTCTTGTAATCCTTACAATAATCCTCCAAGGTTGGCCGTTAGTATAATCGCCCATCCTGCAGGTGAAGATGGACGCGGGGGGGGGCTGGGTTGGTGTTGCCGCTCTTGCGGGTTTGTTATTTTAATCATCTTTATTGCTAGTGATTTACAAATACACATATTGTGAGACGGTTCCGTGTCTCGCAAGTTAGTCCGGAGGCGAGATTCGACCCTGGGGCGCCCTGACTCACAAGTCTGCCTACCTGACTCCGGAGGTTGCCCCGCGGCCGTCCTGCCGTCGCCCGGAGGCTGCTGCGCCTGGCCCTGGCTGCTGCTGCCGCTGGCGGCTGCATCCGAGGCGGGGCTGCTCTTGCTGCAGCAAAGCGACTCCCACAGCGGCGGCGGGTACTCGGCGGCTCCTTCGGAGGAGACAATGGGCTCGCAGAAGCTGCTCAGGGGCAGCACCAGAGTCATCGCTGCCCGGCCCTGCCCTTCCCGGGCTGCAGCCATGCCTGCCTGGCATTTCGCTCGCCCTCCCGCCCTCCGAACGCTTCGGGAATGAATCGCTTGCCAGCTCCGGCGCTCGCCTGCCTTTCTCACGCTCTCTCTCTCTCTCTCCCTCTGCTCCGATTGCTGCTTTTTTGCCCATTCCGTTGTCCCCCAGGCTAAAGATTTGTCCCCTTCGCCTTCTGATAGCCCCTTTCTAAAAAGAACCCCCCCACACACGCGGATGAAAGAGGCGAAACAATTCCCCCGACCACACTCTGCTGAAGAAGGGGACCAGATCCTAGAACTGATATTCTCCCCCCCCCACCCGCCCCCCCATAAAAACATCATTTATTGAAAGTAAAGCGCCTTTGATTTCAATTGCACTTACTTCCAGGTAAGTGCGCTTAGCGCCGCAGCCTTTCCCCCAAATAAAGGCAAACCTTTACCCCTTCTGCTCCCACCCCTGCTCTCGACTCTTTCCTCAGTCCGTTTTTTCCTCTTCTTTTTCTGAAAAAGCAGTAAATCCAACCAACCGATCCGGCCGATGCTCCCAGATTGCAACAGGATCACTTTATTCTCTCCACATACTGTGCCGGTCTCATTTGCAAAAACACAGCGACCTCAGCAACGACATTGTATGCGTGTGTCTTATGTGTGGCTGGCTGGTTGGCTTTCCCCCTCCTTTCCTCCCCCCCCCTTTCTTCTTTCCCTCCCCAACGAAACAGAGCGAGACTCTTAGGTAGTTGTTTCCATCAGCCCCGATTGGGCTGAACTGGATCTGCCTCCAGTCAAAACACTGAGATTAAGACAGAAAATTGGCTCCGGTTTCAAGCCGTGAGTTGCAATCCCATAGGAGCCAAGCACAACATCAGTGGAGCAAGCAGAATATTAAACAGGAGCAGGGACTCCGGGGCTGGAGCCAGGCTGCCTGAACTATCATCCAGTCCCAAGCAAAAAAAAAAGGGGGGGGAGCAGGAGCACAAGAAAACTTTCTGAAAGGGGCAGGCAATCCACATCCCACTCCACTTTTCCTAATAATTCACCTACTCCTGGCAGGCAAGTCAGACGCCTCCTCTCTCCTTCAATGTGCTCTCCAAGAAAGAGGAATTTTGTTTCCTTTTCATACATTTCTCAAGTTGATGCCACTACAGGAGGAAGAGGGTCCTCCAAAGTGGGGGGGGGGGTCACGCAGAATGGAAAGCCGGCAGCATGTTTAGAATTAAAGTCTGTCTGGACAAGACTGATGAAGTAGGAGGGTCACAGCTGAAAACAGTAAGAAGCAGGTTTTCCAAGCATCTGGAGAACCTCACTTTATTTCAGCCTAGAAACAGGGGATGCAAGAATCCTGTGTCCGCCTTGTGACTATTTTTCAAAATATCCAGACACCAATGGTTGAAAGGGCAGCTCGTGCCAGCAGCACTTACGGTATTTCCACTGACTTTGGGATGAAAAATGGGAACAGGACAACTTTACTGCCACAGATTGAACAGAACACTACTTAACCCGTTCATTCTGTTGTCCAGCAAAGCAGTGAATGTCCTATTTATCTATGAACTCAATGCATACTTCTAGGGATGTTTTCCACACAGGAAGCTATTAATTTGAAATATATTCCTTTCCTTCCTGTCTTTTTAACAGCAGTCTAGCCTCCCTTGCTGAAGGACCATTCAGTGATTCTGATCCAGAGCCCTTTGAGATCTCCAAGTCTTACATGACTTGCAAGTTGCAACTAACTTATTTCACTGTTTTGGGTTTGATGGAGAAAATCACTTCTGACTTTACTTTCTCCAGACTGGACCCCTATTTCGGGGCGGGGTTACATTTGATTTGTTTGTGTCATTCAAGTTCTACAGCAAGAGTCATATAAAGTAGGCAATTCACTGAAGATGTCCAATTATTGTTTGATTACATTTTTATTTCCATTTTTTAAAAAGCCTCTCTGTACTGTGTAATCCACATTGAGCCTCCGTGAGAAAGGTGGGCTAAAAATAAGATAAATAAATAAAGACACATTTTAAAAATGCCAAAGAAAGTACACTTGAAGCCTTGGTGTTCTCTTCCCCACTGAAAATGGGATCAGAACTGATCACCTTTAGTGGAGGGACAGGGCAGGGATTTCCTGGCTTTAATCTCCACCCCCCAACCCCCAGCGGGTAATGCTGGCATTGGATGTAAGGGTTTTCCCACTGCAGAATTTGAGGAGGGAGGAGGGGAAGGGAGGAGTCAAGATAGTATTTGTACAAAAACCTGTTTTCATGCATGGATTGCATTGCTGGCTTGGGGCAAACGGATGATTCACCACACTTTTATCATAGCTCTCTAGCACATACATGTCTGTCTGAGTATGCAAATGACTTGACAATCTTATTTCTTTCAAATGTTTGATTGTTCCTGTAACTTAAGGGAGGAAATGGGAGATATCTTATGAAGTCCGGTAAAAGGCTCCAGTGTTTCACTTCTGTTCTGAAATTTGTTGTTTTATAAAGCTTTGGGATGTAGAGTCCACCCACAGACTGCAACCCTAGGCATGCTTACTCAGAAGCAAATTCCACTGAGTTCAGTCTGCTCATTAGAAACAATGTTTCAGCTGTGTTTCATTTGATTCTCCTTTGGCCTATCATTTCCTGTCTTATTAATGTTTATCAATTATATAGCACCTTTGATCTGCAAAGTGCTATCAGTTGTTATTTTGCTGATGTCCCCACAACAGCCCTCTGAAGTAGAATGCAATTCTTATTTTACAGATGGGGACCTGGAAGACCAATCTGTACATTCGGGGGGAAACGACTGGTATACTCCCACAACACTAATTTTAACTGCTGAAGATGGCACTGTAGATTAAATTGCTTAAGAACAAGTTGAATCTCAGGCTTTCCAGGAGTCACTTTTTGTGTTTCCCAAAAAACAACCTTGATTTCCAGAAATGCATTGTTTATTGCCCATAAATACATCCCAACTAAGGTTGGGTTTATTAACTGCACCCAAATTGAAACAGCCCAATTTAAAAATCTTTCACAAATGGCCTAATCAGCATATGAAATTGCCTGGAATCCCTTTGACAGAGCAGAACATGTAGCAGTTTCCTGACAACCCCATGTAATATCTTAGAGCAGCAGCCATTGGCACAGCGGCTCCAGCAAGAAGCCCCTGTAGTTAAAGGGCTGAACAATAGTTCTTGCCTCATGTGACTTGGGCCAGGGAGGGCCAGGGATACTCTCTATGTTTAGGGCCAGAAAAGTCAGCAACTTGATCTTAGTTGTGGGCATCAGCCTCACTTTTTTAAAAAGTCCCAATTCACACATTCAGGGAAGATCAGACACCAGTACAGCATGTGAAGGAACATTCCAAGCTGAAACCTGCAGTCTAAAATGCTATAGTCCTTTCTCTAGTCCTCAGCACCTCATTCTCTTGCATGTGTAAACCAAAGGTAAGTTTCCAAAGTGTTTTTCAAGATGAGCCCAATTGATATGTCAAAGACAGTAGATGTGGCAGCACAAGCTATTTCTGGAGTCTATGAAGCCACTATTGCTCCACAGAATTAGATAGCTTAGATCACACTAAAACACACTACTGTGAAGGAAGTCTTCGCAAGACCATGGCCTGGATCCTGCTCAGAGGTCATTTCGGGGGGGATCGCGGAGGATCGCAGTTCCCCCGGGTGAGGTACGGGGGGTGGGGCATATGACAAAGCCCCGCCCCCTGCTTCCGGCCGCCCTGCTTCCGGCCCTCATTTAGCCAGGAGGAGGCAGGAGAAGAGGGAGGGTGAGTTGCTTCCTCCCTGCCTCTCCCCACCCCTGCCTGCCTGGGGCCAGGGAGGGCCTTTGCGGGGCTTTCTTGCACTCCCGCCGGCCTTGCAGGTCCACTGCCGGGCCCCTCATGGGGCTCGGCAGTGGAGCTGCAAGGGCGGCGGCGGCAGCCGGGAACCTGCTGAATATTTCCAGTTATGGAACAGTTTCTGCCACTGGAGCACGACTTCTCCACTCAGATCTTTTTGTCTTCCAGTCATATTATTGTGCATTATTTGTATGGTGCTTGATTTTATATGTGTATATAGGCACTGGCATGAATGGCATATCTTTCTTATATTTGCTAAATATCCATTGTTATGATGGATGATGTGTTTGAGGAGGCAGGATATTGAGAAAATATAAGGGTGAACTCAGAAGACACCACTGAGGTGGGACTAAATCTGTCCTATGCCTGATGAAACAAGTGCCTGGTGTGGGAGGCGAGTTTTACCCTCCTAACTATATCAGATCGAAGCCTGTCTACTTAGTTCTGTAGAACTCAATGGGAGCCACTGAGAACTGAGACAGTCCCTTCATCTGTTTCTTGGTGTTCTGGATTCATGTACAGAGTGATGGTATCTCAAGCTGTAAGAGTATAACAAAGAGACAGAGTTATGGGAACTGGGCCGGCTATTTCATTCCTCCTATCAAATGTTAATTCCATTTTTTAACATTTATTTACTATTAATACTACCTTAATGCTATTTTCAGTTATTTTGTTATTTAATGAAATAACAATAAATGAAAAGGTGTAGTACAGAACTGAGCACAGTACAGAACTGTAGAAGAAGCCTGTAGGCTAGATCCATGTTTTAAGATCTGTTTGCAAAGCTTCAGTGGTATGGAAGCCAGACCAAATTTTTATTGAACCCAGCCTTTAATCCTTAGGTTTCCACAGATTTTCCATGTTGCCATGCATAAATAGCAAACCCTGAGGCATCCAAAGCAGCCTGAAGGTTAAAACTTTAGACTTCTATTGCATGTGTGTAGCTCTACACAGTAAGTGGCTACAGTGCAGTGCTATACTGTTCTATTTGCTCACCATTCCTTCAACAACTACTCCATTTTCACTCACTATTCCTTTAAGTCATTATGATGCTAATGAGAGAGCTGTAATGATGCCATTCACAATGTCAATGAAAAAAGAGTCTTTATGCAGTTCCAGAATGCCACTGAAACAGAAGTTAAATTTAAAAT